AGACAGATAGATAGATAGATAGATAGATAGAGGATATCAAGGGATGATCATTTTATTTTGTAATTATGGAGTTCTCCTTGGCTCCAAATATGAGTACTGTTAGCTAAACTAAATTTATCTTTAAACACTTTTATAAAAAATATTTTGATTAAGTAGGTAAATTTTCTAGAAATAAACCTGTATTCCATGTTTATCATAGTGGTAACTTCTGGTGTATAAGTCATTTACACTAAGTTTACCCTGGAGCCACGGGGAATGTATGCCATTAACAAGAGAGGTATTTATATCATGCTAGCGAAATGTGATCATTTTTAGACTACACATTTAGAAGGGTAAGGGACCTTCCCATCATTTTTTTCATATAAAGGGCTACTATTTTTATACAAGATGCACAAATAAAACTGATAAAGAAATGCAATGAATTGCATCTTGATTTTATAAATGTCACTTGGTATTTGTGCTGAGCAGAGACATTCAGAATCTTAATTCCTAATATGAATCACTTTCTTTGAGTTTTCTTTAGAAAGAATATCTGTCTTCTAATACTTCTATGCATTAGATAGACTCTTGGGAAAATCTGTTGACACTCTTTAGAGTATAGGCCTTTAAGAGATAAAGAAATGTATACATTTATGAAACTAATACTAATAGGTACCATTGACATTAAGTTTGCTAGGGAAGCCAATTTAGGCTAAGCATGGTGGCTACTCCAGAGGTAAAATTGGGAAGATAGTCTTAAGAACAGCTATGCAAAGGTTAGAAAAACCTCCTTCTCATGCAATCAAAGTTGGGTATGCATGCCTGTCATTTCAGCTTTGCAGGAAGAATAAACAGGATTGTGGTCCTGGCTAATCAAAGCATAAACATGAGACCTTATCTGAAAATTAATGAAAGCAAACAGTGCTAAGGGTCTGACTGAAATAGTAAAGCATCTATCTAGCAGGCATAACATCCTCAATTCAAACCCCAGAACTTAAAAGAAGCAAGTTCTACAGTTCTAATGCAAATGCTGAGAAATGAAAATGTGATACAATATACATTATGATGATTAGGGATATTGTTCTTTATATTTTTATAACTTTATAAATTATTCCATGAGTTTATATAAACAGGCAATCACAACAAAGTAAAAACAACTTCCTTCCAGTTGTCAAAATTATGAGTCCAGTTTAAATTCTTTCCCCTCGATGGTTTTAACAAAGAAGATAAGCAGGCTAGATGTAAATACAGCGATAAAATTTAACTTTTTTATTTATATTTAATGAAAGTTGACAGTAAAATCTGTGCAGATGCTTGTGTATTAAGTACATGTTTTGTCAGAGATATACTTGGAGCACTTACAGATTGGACTCCTTGTCTTGAATTTTGTTTTGTTTTACTATCACCATAATTCTGACTGTGGCTTTTATTGTTATTATCATCATCCATCAATAGGGTAGCTACCTTGGTAAAGTAGTAGATATTTTAGCAATAATGACTTCTCTAGTACCATTGGTAATATCTTACATTATAACATGGCAAGATGAAATTGTAGTTTAGCCATATAAAATGGACCAAACTTTATGTCTTTAGAGATAATATCTAAATTTTATTCAGATATTAATCTCTGTTAGTATATAAAGATTTATAATCACATTAGTGATTTGTTTTTCTCCTTTCATTAGTTTTTCTTTCTTTTATTTAGTTGTCTGGACATTCAGTAAGTAATCAAGAAGCAGAACATAATCTCACAGGATATGAAGATTATTTAAATATATTTAAAAAATATTTGTTCTGCACTTACGTTCTGTTGTCCATGTCTGTGCCAGTATTCTCACATACCTCTTTTAATGTAAAGGGATCACACTTAAATCTAGATGTGTTTATTTGATCATGATTTTTAAGAATCTCATATTTTCTCATATAATTACTACCATTTAACTGGTGAGCTAGCTAATAACTTAAGAAGTGAAGTCAAATAAAATTATAAAATAAAATACATGTAAGCAAAAAACCCATAAATGAAAGTAAAAATAATAAAAATGAGAAAATATCATTCTGGATACCAGTGGCTCATACCAATAATTCTAGCTACTCAAGAAGCTGAGATGTGAAGATTATAATTCAGAGCAATCCCAAGCAGGAAAGTCTGTGATGTACTTATCACTAACCAGTAAAAAGCTAGATATGGAGCTGTGGCTCAAATGATATTTCTCCAGTTTCAGTGACAAAGCTAAAGGACAGTGCCGGTATCACACACACACACATCTTATATAAAGATAATGAAAACATAATGTATATGTGTTTAGGACTATTTAATATATGTAGGCAAATATGTAGAGAAAACATGAATGTTAATTTTAAAATAAAGTCTCTGTCTCCATATTATTTGGTGAAAACTGTCAGTTAACAGTAAATACACTATTCCTACAGTGGAACAAAGTAAACAAGTAAAGCAATCTGTCTAAGGAAGACTAAGCAGTATCACCTTCAAGACATTTATGATCTCATAACTCAATACAATTAAAAAGATAATACAGGGTACTGATGCATATGCTGAATTTATCCCATAGATACATTTTGCTCTTGCTGTGAATTTTTAAACTCTATTTTCAATCATTAAAAAAGATTTTGCATAGAAGATTCAAGCTGAAAAATGGAGAGAGGAGCGGACAGTGGATAGAGTCATAGTTAATGTACATGTGTACAGGAAACAAGATGGGCAAGAATGGATGGGAAGGAGTCTAGTGAAGAAGATAACACTGGTCAGAATGCATTATGCACAAATGGACAAGTTAAACTGAAACCCCTTTGTACAAATTTTAGACAATAATTTTTTAAATAGACATGGATTTGCTAATAGTTGAGGCCAGATGTTATGAAAGATTATTTTCAACGAGCTGTTATTGACTTGTGTGGAAATAACATTAGACACTGGGATAAAACGGGATTCACATTGTATAAGGCAGCAATCTTCTGAGCTGCCATCCCTCTTCAGGGGCAGGTGTTTCCATGTAAGCTCCGAGCATCATATACCATCTTCACACATCTAATTTCCAATCTGATGTTTCTCAGGTAATTAGATGTCCACTGCAAGTTTAAAATCTAATGAATGAGTTTTCTCCCCAATCCACTTCAAATAAAACAATGAAAGAAAAGGAGAGGATTCCGTATTTATTAGATAAGGTTACATATCATCAACTCCCCTGACAAAAGTTATAAAGCAACCAACCAACAGTGTACCCTCTTGAGTCTGTCATGTGTTCATTTGTTTTATTATTTAGAATAGGAATCTTAATAGAAACAAATACAATGAGAAGGTCAGAAGAAGTTTGTGTCACTAAACAAGAATGAAGCATTGAGACCAAGTAGGAATTTGCTCAAGATATATGATAAAGCAAAAGGTAAACAGTTTAAGAAAAAAGTTAGTTAGGTTTTCAAGATATTTTTAATCAGTGTCAATGGATTGTTAGCAGCAGGCAGGGAAGAAATGAACAACAAGCAATTGCTACCCTGAGAGCATCTCTTCCACATACATGGTCCAGGTTTTTAATTTTTGATTGTTCTCTACTGTATTCCAGCTTGGTTTCAATCTCTAGTTAAGTCAGGATTTCTTCTTTTCTAGTCTTGTAGAAATTAGGAGCTATTAATAATTGAATAGAAGTAGAGAAAAATAAATGATTGCACATATGTACATGCATACTTAGGCTGAGATAGACTGACATCACTTAGCTATTAAAATAAATCATAATTTCTAACTTGTTTGATCACTCTTGGTTTCTACTGTTGCCACCACCAGTGCTTTTGGTATGTCCCTTTTTAAAGTCATATATTTTTCATTTACTTCGTGAAATGCCCACTTGGCATTATTTTCTCTTCTCTTGTTCCTTGATCTTTTTATCTTCATTTCTCTTTGCTTCTCAGGCTGAAAGATTGGGTTAGGTTACCCACTGAGCAAGTACTAGAAAAAATATTATACCCTTAAGTTCCCAGAAGCATCAAATTAATGAACAGCTCAATGGTGAGAGAGGGGGAAAAGGAGAAGGATGAAGGCAACTAGAAATATGAAGCACTGATTATTTGTGGCCTTATGTATCAGTCTAATTCATACCTTCTGACAATCTAGAGCAATGCAATAATCACTAGGGATCCTTTAGGCTGAATCACTCTGAACAAAGGATTCTACCCCCTGATTCTGCACTCATATCACACAGCTGAGTATAAAACAAAAATAAATGTATTTTATATCTTCAAATTCCGCTTAGCCTGTGAAAATCCTTCAAACATATGATGTTATATATCAGCTATAAATGAAATTGGGCGTGTTTTATAATGTTTACTTTTAAGTTTCAAAAAACCCACTTTGGAAGCTTTTCCCCTCAGTGTGAAATGTTGTCATTGTTTCTTATTTTTCTCCTCTTTTTCTTCCACTCCTTTCCTTCTCTTCCTTCTCTGTTTCCCGACCTTCTTGTTCCTCCTTCTCTTTCTCCTTTCCCTCCCCCCTCCTCTTCTTCCTCTTGTTCTTCATCTTTATCATCTTCATTCATCTTTTTCTCCTCCTCCCTACATGATATCTGTAGGGTTTATTGGTAGAGTCAAGGTGGAATTTTTGAAATATTTTGATACTGCCTTGAATGACCCATAGAGTACTAGAGAATACACTGAAAATAACAGTAGATTTTATGTATTATGAACTTGTTAGTTTTAAGCACTATTGCAGAGGCATGATGTTAATCATCTCATTTCTTAACAATAGTTTAATGAAGTAAAATTTTTCTTAAAATTGTATTTACAGATTCATAGATACATAATTTACTTGTTAATTCTACTATATCTTGTATACACTTCTTCCTATGAATGAGGAAAAATGGTATAAATATGAAGAAATAACCTTGGGCATTTAGTTCTTCATCAGCTTACTGATGTAGACACATTTCAAGCAGTTAAACAGTTCAATAGTGGGCAAATTTACTGATAACTTTGGTGACAGTTATGTCAATCCTTTGCCTCCCTGTTTTTAGTACCAGGGCAGCCACTAAACTTCAAAGCAGAACCTGAGTCTGAAACAAGCATTTTGCTCTCTTGGACACCTCCACGTTCCGACACCATCGCCAGCTATGAACTAGTCTACAAAGATGGGGAGCTTGGAGAGGAGGTGAGTGCAAGCTTCTCTCTTCACCATCTTTCAGCACATTGTTTTTGGTTTTCCTTTTTTGAGTTTACCCAAGTTCTTAGTGAGATACCTGTAGAGGAACTTTGTAGGAAAAATGTATTCAGTGATAGAAGGAATAAGTTCATTTCCAATTTACCATCTTCTAGGTAGCCTTGTGGCAATAGGTCATACTGTGTCCTTGCTTCAGTGTTTGGTTATTCTTTCCCTTCCCCGAAATAGACAAATGTATATACAAGATGCAGGGTACCAAAATCAAATACAGTGACAACAGGGGATATATCAAAGGGGGAAGAACATGCAAAGGAAACAAAAAAAATCACATAGTACATTAAAAACAACAATAAAGAAAGACCTCGTGTGTTCATATCTTGGGGTTCATTTTACTTAGCATCATCTTATATGGTCATATATGCATAGATTTTGAGCTTTTCTGCTCATCTGATAAAATTATCTTAGACGTATATTAATTATTAGAAATGAGGGAAACCATGGGACCTCTATTTCTTTGGGTCTGGCTTACTTTACTTGATATGATTTTTTCCAAGTCTTTCCATTTCCTAACAAATGGGGCGGTGTCATTCTTTCTGAGAGAAGCATAGAGTTCCATTGTGTATATATACCAGATTTTCTTGATTTGTTCATCTACCTAGGGGCATCTGGGTTGATTCCATTTCTTGGCTGTGGTAAATAATGCTGCGATGAATATGGTCATACTGGTGGGTTTAGTGAGGCCTTGTTTGTGGACATTTGGGTAGATTCCCAGAAGTGGGATTGCTGGGTCATAGGGGAGCTCTATGTGTAGTTTTTTGTTTTGTTTTGTTTTGTTTTTGAGGAACCTCCATACTGCTTTCCAGAGTGGTTGAACAAGTTTGCACTCCCACCAACAATGTAGTACCATTCCCTTTTGGTCTCATCCCTGCCAGCATCTGTTGTTATAATTTCCAGGGGAGAATGGGGGGGGGAGAGGTAAGGAGTGAGGGAAGTGGGGGAGAGAAGGGATAGTGGGAGAACAACAAGGGAAGGGGTAACAATGCTTGAGAAGAAATGGTCTCATTGCCTTACTCATGTAACTGTAAACCCTCTGTACAGTATTTTTACAATGAAATAAGATTAAAAAAAGAATTCTTAACAAAAGAAAAAAATGAATGACAGAAATATAAAGGAAGTCTTGATGTGTTTGCAGAGCTATGAAAGAGCAGAGTGAAAAGAGTGAAAGAAAATGAATGTGGTCCAAACATATGATGGACATGTATAAAAGTGAATCAATAAAACCTGTTGGGATTGGTTAGGAAAGGTCCAGGAAGGATGACGAAGATTGAGAGAGGGAGTGAGTCTCATCATTGTTTGCATAGATAGACATATCCAAATGAAATCCCCCTGTAAAACTAACTGGTACTAATTAAAAGCATAAGAAAATGAGTGTAAAGAGCCAGCAAAACACTCGTCTACTGACAACAATTTCTAACTATGGAAAATACTATCTCTATTTCTAACTATAAAATTTGTAACTATAAAAATACTTTGAAAAGTATTTTTGTTTTGTTTTTTATGAGCTGAAATAAACTCCTGTTCTTTGACCTACTTATGCTATGTGTATGTATTCATCCAAGGGAGCATAAATGATGGTTGATTAGCATGGGAATAGATAGATAGGCAGACAGACAAACAGATAGATAGATAAACAGGCAGCAGACTAAAGTCTGTTGTATTCTTTATGCATCTGGCTTTATAACTTCACAAGTTTTGAGGAAACAGGATTACTCAAAATGTTAATGTTAAGGCATTTATATTAGTCAAAGTTCAATATTTAATTACAAGTGGTTAAATTTCATTTGGCTAGCAAAGTTAAGTGACAATGTAGTGAATATATAAAGGGAATTTATAAAGAAAGACAATAAGTGCTCTGACCAGTTACAAAAATAACAGGTTTTTTTTTTTTTTTTTTTGGTTGTTGACTTTGTTGTTGTCAATGTACTGTAGTTAGTTCTTTCTTTTTATTTTTATTTCATTTTGCCTTTTACATTGGTTTATTTCTAGGAATCACTGTCTTTGATATGCTGCATCTTATATATATATACATTATTCTGATTTGGGGAAGGGAAGGGGAATGACAAAATACTGAAACAAGGACAAAGGATGACCCAACGTGACAAAGATACTCACAAGACACTATGTTGGAAATGAACTTGACAACTTTGCAGGGGAGAGAAGGAAGGGTTAGTAGGGCAAAAACAAAGGAGTGGGTAACAATGTTTGACAAGAAAGGTTCTCATTACCTTACTCATGTAACTGTAACCACTCTGTAGAGCATCTTTATAATAAAACAAACGTTTAGCGATAAAAAAAAAAAAAAGCAGAACAGCTATTTGGAGACCTGGTGGAAGAAATGTAATACAAAGTCCATTGTATCTATTTTAACATCTTTCTAAATCAGATTTCAAAGTTGATCTTATAAAAAAGTATCAGACTATAGAGGAACAAATACTCTATGAGACTTAAGACTACCTGTGTTTTTTCTACATTAAAGTATTTGGGTTACTGTTGGGTTACTGTTGGGTTACATGATTGGAAATACCTTTAGATGCTAACACTAAAATTGATTTGTAAAATGCATTTGTTCAAACTGACTGTAAAGAAAGAGAAAGATGAATCACAGCAAATGTTTATTGGCATGCTAAGTATTATTTGATATGAATGTGAGTATATGTAAAATGTTAGTATTCTGTGCAAATAGAAAACCTGGATAAGAGGAGAAATGGAAATCGCATAATGAAATTTACATTGACACTGTTCTCAGAATTGCACATATGTTAATCCTTTAAATCCTTATAAAAGCACAGTGAGCTAGATGCATTTATTAATCCATTTCACATGTAACAAAACAGAGGCACAGGAAAAAGATTTAATTCAACACATTTCACATCACTGGCTGGGATTTGAATCTAGGCAGGCAAGTTCCAAAGTAACTTTTTTTTAAATATTAAAGTCAACTGCTTCGTTAAGTATACTTTATAGAAATATATATTAATATATAGAGAATATTGTCAGAATGGGAATGCCTTTTAATGACTGTTTCTTTTGTCTTTATGAGACATAATAGGGACTATTAGAACAAAAAGTGTTAGTGAAAACAATTTATACAATTCAGTTTCTTATACCTGTTTCTCTTCTGTACCCTACAAAAGATCTTCAGATTCTAAATAGTCTCTAAGTTCTAACAAAAATCACATATTAAATGAACAATATAAATTAATTCATGGCACATCATAAGATAGAACTCATAAGTGGCTAGTAAATAAATATGAAAATTTGAGGAGAATTGAAATCTTTTGAGTCTAATACGGATGCTAAAATGTCCCTACACCTACTTTTACTTTTTAGAATATTCTTATTTAGTGAATTTGAAATTCACCAAATAGATCTTTTATATGAACCAAATACCCTAAGAGTATTTTCTCTCATTTTATATTCGAATTCACAGTGACAGATTTATTTATATGAATAGCAACACTGTTTTTTTAGAAAGCATTAAGATTATTTTTGCCATTGTTCAAAATATATGTATATATTCACCTTAATTTTAAGGTTTACCATAGCCTAATTTTCAATTTGACATTGACTATCCAAAGACAGCTGTTTTCTTGCTAAAACAGAAAGACATATTTTAAGAACAGAATATAAGTTAACATATTCAACAAAAGAAGTGCTATTCCAGAACTCCTGTATGATACTAAAAGATGTAGGAAAGTTTGTCAATTTTCCAATGGTACATCTCTGTTTACAAATATAAAAGAAGTTTTCATATTATTTTAAATGAATAAATAGCTATTTTAATAGAATTTATTCAGCTTTCTCCAGAGACATGATTTTTATCTCATCAGGATGTAGCAGTTCCCTATGTCCTTTCAGAAAGTCCTGTTTGCTGTTACTATATCTGGTCATTTTCTTTGCTCATTATTTAGATCATGTGAGATAAGCTAGACATCTGTTCAAACATGTTTAGTATTGTCTACAACCAGGGTACATGTCAGTTTTTCTTGTGGGCTATGTTACACAACATACATTTTATGGTATAAAATTGGTCTCTCAGGCTCCTTATCTGGTACTTTTGGATAACTGTCAATGTTGGGAAGACCTCTAGCTTGTCTTATTCCAGTTACATTATTATGTTTCCACCAACATGCATTTTAAACTGATTTCTTTAAATCATCTTTGAGCAGTTGTACAAAGGAGTTGTCATTCAACAAGGCAATTTATGAATACAGTGCATCTTGATCAACGTCACCCAACCAATCCACCCCTTCCTTCAATTTTCTTAATACTGTAGGATATGCGTTGAATTCTATGACTGTATTCTCCCCTCTTCCTCTCTTCATTCATCTAATCCCCTACCCTTGATTTCACCCCAATCTCTTTAAGTACCTCTTTCCTGGTGTTTATTTGGTTGGACTGTGAATTAGCCTTTTTAAGGAATTACATCATTTGACTTCTCCCCCTAAATGTATCATAGTCCAGTTAATACCTTTTCTATGGTGAATAATGCTGGAATGAACATGGTTGGGAAAGTGGTCTTATGGTGTACTGGTTTGTAATGTCTTGGCTAAATGCCCAAGAATGTAATTGCTGGATCACAGACTAATTCTATGTTTAGTTTTCATTAAGAAGTTCCACTAGTTTAGTTCTGGATACTCACTAATGATTGTTTTTGTGATATTTTAACATTCTGGAAATGTCATATTTCAGACACCATGATTTGCATGAATCTTTTTTTTTTTTTTTTTTTTGGTTGGTCGTGGGGCTTGAACTCTGGGCCTGGGCGCTGTCCCTCAGCTCTTCAGCTCAAGGCCAGCGCTCTACCACTTGAGCTACAGCGCCACTTCCGGTTTTCTGGTGGTTTATTGGAGATAGGAGTCTCAAGGTCTCTCCTGCCCGGGCTGACTTTGAACCGCGATCCTCAGATCTCAGCCTCCTGAGTAGCTAGGATTACATGCGTGAGCCACCAGTGCCCGGCTTTGCATGAATCTTAAGATGGCCAATTCTCTTCTTGCAGCAACGAGTTACCATTGAGCCAGGGACATCATACAGGCTGCAAGGGCTGAAACCAAACAGCCTTTACTATTTCCGTCTGGCTGCACGCTCTCCTCAAGGCCTGGGTGCTTCCACAACGGAAATATCAGCAAGAACCATGCAATCAAGTAGGTGTCTTTCCTTGCTTACTTGTTGCCTTTATTGTTTTCCACTATGAGGCATTGTTTCTGCCTTTTATCTCCACCAACGAGTCAATCTGCTAATATGCTTTTGTGTCTGTTGTCACAATGATTGTAAGCACCCCATTTTGGGGATTAGAACACAGCCATGATCTAAATTTGGTCCAGATAATAGACCCTATTTTCTTGCTTTCTAAACAGAATATCTTTCAAGTAAGTCGATAGACTTCCATAGCTGAAAATGGGTGAAAATATTGACGTCATACCCCATTTGGCCAATTATGCAGTGGAAATCACTGCAAAATAATCAGAATATGGAAGAAAAAAGAAAAAAAAGGCCACAAAAGTTGTAACTCACATCTAATTAAAGCACGTAGGATTTTAACTTTGGTAACTTTTTAACTTGCGAAAAACTCATCTTATATAGTTTTGTTTAATCCTACTCAAGAGTAAGCTGAGTAATTTGGGAATGGATTTGTAATAACTCTTCAAGTAGTAAAAATTTGGAATCATCCACAAACTGTATTTGGACAAGTTTAAGAACAATGTAACATGCACAAGCTCACTCACACTCCCTTACATTGCATTTTTTTTTTCTTCAGGTCCAATCTCTTTTTGAAACTCTTCCTCTTAAGCATAGCTGTATTTGTGAGAATGAGAGTACATTCTGCTCGTTTTGCATAAAGTATTATAGAGGAGATTGTGGTTGATGGAAAATTTGGTGGTTTATAATACAGATATTTGCTCTTTAATAGAACTTATAATTAGATTATAGACAACCACTCATCTTGAAGTGTGTTATAAAGTATTTTATCTGTGATGTATGCAATAGATACTAAGATCGACAGATACCAAGAGGATGGTCTGTTGAACTCATATTTAGACCAGTCAGAAAACATGAAAATTTTGATTTTTAAAGATTAATTTCATATACACAATTCTTCTAATGTCTTATAGAAGCAAGAAATCTTTCAGAGATTTTTGAAGAAAAAATTCATATTGTCCCTTCATGAGAGCATGATTATTCATATGAAAAGTATTAAGATCCTATTGCCTAATCTATTAATGTATGCTGCTTTATTCCATAATATTTCCTTTCATTTAAAAATGGAAACTATAAACTAATGCAGCCATGTATGTCTGCTTTGATTTCCAGACAGTTTAATACATGAAATATAGAAATTATTTTGTAAACTCATTAAGTTAAAAGAAATGTTATATGTGTGATTTTAGGTATTATGTGGATTTCAAAAGTCTTTTCAGATAAATGCATTCATGGATACAATGGGGCCTTTTTATAACTCTATTAGATGAGCACTTTCTATTTATTGAAGTAAACATTTCAATTATTGTTAAAAACTTCCCATAGAATGCAGGTGTGAAGGTAGCAATCTACATAAAACGAAGCCAGACTTTAAAAAGAGTTACAAGTGAGTCCTTCCTGTTATGTGAACAATTCAAATTATTGTGAATAATGATAATGCATACAAAGCAGTTTCATAATTTGAGACAGAAGAACCTTCAGTCAGATGCAATAAAATGATATTCGGGTAATTCTGCAAATCTTATTCCAAATTTGCAAGGTTTTCTGTCCTGTGAGGATTTCTTTTTCAGTTAATACAGGAGATTTTCACTTTGATTGAATGTAAGGATTAACTCCAGGCACATAAATTAATAGTAAGCAATAATCCTCCAAAAAATTCTAAAAACATGTCACTTAACATTAAGATTTAAGAACATCTAAGAAAAGCCTCATGACATATTCAAATGCAAAAATCGGGATTATTTTCTTGACTCTACCCATGTATGTTGACCTAGAATTATGTGTGAGTATGTATTTGCCAAACTTAGCCTGTTTCTTGTTCTTCTTTAGAAGTATATATTCCTAACTTTAAAAACAATTCCTCAATTATATTATTCTTTATAGATTTTAATTCTTTGACATAGCGATATATCTGGGTACTTTAAGGGATAATAATTGCTCAGAAGGTGGACAAGAAAATTCATCTAATAACTCATGCAAATCTACTTTGTATTTCCAATTATATACAAAATGAAAGATTTTGAACATAGATTATATCTTTTAGATGCTTCTTGAGCTTTTTTTTTTAAAAGGAGGTCTTTTTAATGGCTGTTATGGACATTTTGTAAGGGGGTAGATGATTATTACTGATTTTATCAAAATTTGCTGGTGGGATCTAATTCTTTACTAGCAATGGTGTCTCAAGAAGAATTATTATTTAAAAGGCTGAAAGCTGACATAGGGTAAGTACAAGTTACAGTCAGAATCAGCAAGCCTTGACATTACCCTCGGGTAGGTAAATCTCGGACTATGCATTTTCATCCTTTACTGATTCTGCATGCTCACTGTATTTGGGCTTTGATCAATGTTAGGTTAACACTTTTCATTAAAGCCAGTCAGGCATATCAGCCTTTTAGATAGGGTGAACCCTTTTATGTTTGTTGGCTTTTCCTTTTAATTTGTTAAAAATTGGAATCCATTTAGAACAAAATTATATGTATACAATATGCATATATATATATATATACTCATAAATATATATGTATATGTCCTTAGTGTGGAACTGAGCTCTAGGAATGACATCTGTAAAGCATCTTCTATATCTCCAGTTTTATTATTTTTTTAAATAGGATTTTAGCAGCTTTGGGGGACTGAATTTTCAGCATACTGGGGGGGGGGGAGATACATAGGGATTGTTTTAGGAGAAGAATTTAAATCTCAGGTAGGTAATTTTATTTGAGGCTCTATAATCTCAAGGTTTCATTTTCACATATTTCCCCCCATCCATTGTTTAACAATTATTTTTTGGTCATTTATTCATTTTTTTTTTTTTGGTTCACTCATGTTTACTAAGCCAAGGTACATAAATTTAATTTGAAAATTTAAGTTTCGAAGCCTTATTTTTGTTTTGTTCTCCTTAGTGTTCGTTTATTTATTTTTTGCCTTTTGTTTTATCATTTTTTTTTCCTCTCCAACCACTCCTGTCCTTTTCACTCAAATCCTCCTTTAACTCACTACCAAAATAAGAGCCGTCAGCTCCTCCTCAAGACATTAGTTGCACCAGCCCAAGTTCCACTAGTATCTTGGTAAGTTGGCAACCTCCACCAGTGGAAAAACAGAATGGAATCATCACCGAATACTCACTCAAGTACATCGCCGTGGACGGGGAAGATGACAAGCCTCATGAGGTTTTGGGAATCCCTTCGGACACTACCAAATACCTTTTGGAACAGCTGGAAAAATGGACTGAATACCGGATCACTGTGACTGCTCACACCGATGTCGGCCCTGGCCCTGAGAGCCTGTCCATATTGATTCGAACCGATGAAGATGGTATGTTGTCTCCGCCAAGTCAGTCAGTTTTGCACCTTTCTGACACAGTCCTGATCTGCTGTCGTTTCATAGGCTTAAAAGTTAGCCATTTTTCTCTGCTCATCTTTGTGACCCAGCATTGCTGTTACTTCAGTATTTTTGCCAAGACCTGCCTGCTACATCCTGGGCAATGTTTTTAAAGATGTTTTGTTTTGTTTTGTTTTGTTTTTTCAATCTCAATGAAATATTTTTCTTCCTTTTAAGAGGATATTCTTCTCCTATGGTCTTTCAATCCAGCCTCTCTCTATGCGTCCATGTAACGTCTTCTGTGTTTTGGTTTTGTTTTTGATTCCTCCCTCTCTCTTGGCTTTTTGTACTGACTTCTTTTCCATTTTGAAGTTAACTTTTCAAAACTGCCTTCTTATCTTCTTGTTGCCTTTTTCTTGCGTATGTCAGAAATACTGATGCTCGACATTTCAGTTTTTGGCATCTGTTGTATGGAATATATTTGATATGAGGAAAAAAGAGAAGATAATCCATATAATCAAGCATCTTTTTATTCTGCTATTTTACAAAAAAAAAAAAGAAACCTTTAAAACAGACACAACAATCAACAATCTGTTTTTGTTATTATTTCAGTGCAATACCTCTTTGTGCTTTAATGCTTTGAACCTCAAAGCATCTTCCTTGGCTTTTGTACATTTTTTTTTACATGTTTTTCTATTTCTCTGATACTCTTTTTTTCTTCCATTTTGTTTTTTTGCATCGGTCATGTTTTTTGATCTTTTCTTAAAAGGTAGAGCAGATTGGTTGAGCATTTTCATTGGTTGAAAATGTTTGTGTTCTTCGAAGGAAACATAGTGGGTCTGCTCATTTTTAAGTAAAGAACAGTGCTCTGACTGGGTGGGACACGTGCCTATAATTTTCTTTTATCCGATGATGTTGTTCCAGTTCCTAGTGGTCCTCCTCGCAAAGTCGAGGTAGAGGCTGTCAACTCAACATCTGTTAAAGTCTCATGGCGCTCACCTGTGCCCAATAAACAGCATGGCCAGATAAGAGGATACCAGGTGCATTATGTGAGGATGGAAAATGGTGAGCCCAAGGGGCAGCCCATGCTGAAGGACGTCATGCTGGCTGATGCACAGGTAAGCCTGTTCTTACAGGATAGGGTTTCTCTGACTTTGTACCTGGAGACAGGCTCTAGTTTTAGCTCTTTGATATTTTAGGGGTCTACACACAATTTTGGATTTTAAAACACCAGGCTACCTAGTGACCTTCTTAATCAGAAGTGACATCAAATAAAGAAATAACTTGGAAGGAAATGAGCACTCACTCTGATAGATAACATATCACTGTTTTCCTAAAAGACAGATATTCACTACTCTTCTGAAAGAACAGATAATCAGCTGTAGGTCTGAGTTTGTCTTCCTAACGTCAAACAACATGGTTGATTTAAATATATGAAAGGCAGAAAACTCCAGACTGCAGTTTTGCTGATTGTGTCTGCTTTTTTGTTTTTTTGCAAAAACTACTTAAACTTAGTTGATCTAATATCCAAATTCGATTTTTATTCAGGGAGTGATGCCTAGGCAGTATTTTATGTAGCACTTGGTTAGTTCATATTTGATAGAAATAATTGTTTCAGTCCCTCAATGTGAAGACAGTGACAGTAACAATAAAACTAGAGTTTCAAGAGAATAAATGGCACTCCTTTGTGTTGGATCAAGAAAAGTGCCAATAATGAGTGCTTGAGTATGAAAATACATATTTTTCCATGTTAGGGCATTGCTTCCTGTCCATTGAGCTCAAACCATTTCATTTAGTTATTTAAAACACAGCATTGATATTTTTCAATATTTTTCATAAATTAGACTGATTCAAACTAGGACCCCAAATTTATTTATATTCCACATATTTTTCTTCTTTCACATATTTTTCTTAAAGGAAGAGGATTTCAAATTGTAATTTCTATGCTGGAAATTTATATGGCCTAAAGACTAATATTATCAAATAGTGATGCCAATAATATGGCAATGAGGTATGAACACTATTGAAAGTAATTTGCCTAACCAGAAAATTGATGTATTTTATTTCCTTCCAAATTTTGGGTTGACAAAAATACATTAAATTTCAACTCTATCATTTTTAATCCCTCTTCTATTTTAGCTTTTATTTATCAAGTGCATCTTTCTTTTGGGGATGCATCTCCTTTATTCTTTTGACTATTCATTAAAAGTTCCTTGCCTCTAACAGATCTTCATTGGGGCTAAATAATTGAGTATAATGAAAGATATGAATCCAAAGCATTGCTTGAATTAACCCTGAAAGAATGAAAAATATTTTTGTGAAGTAAGATATGATTTAGAGCATTTTATCTTTACTATGTTTTATTGATTCACTGAACTGAACCATTAAAAAATACAAGAGTCTGCAAGTGTGGTTGAGTGGTAGAGTACTTGCATTGTATGGAAAAGGCCCTGGGTTCCATCCCCAGTACCACCCCAAATAAAAACAATCAGACAAAAAAACACAAGCTGATTTTACTACTAGCAATAACACAGCATATGAAATTATAACTTGCAGTTGGAAGTGAGGGCTACAACATAGTAACACACGGATGCACTTTGGAATCTTATTGTATACACTATTTCATTCATTTAACTTTCTTATTTTAAATCAAAGGAGGGAAGCATTGCCTTTAGGAGGCTATAAGTTTATCTTTATTTCTTTTTATTTTGTTTCCTCTCAACTTTCTTAACCTCACTCAGTGGGAATTTGATGATACTACTGAACATGTGAGTAATTTTTGACTGCTTGGTCAAAAAAACAGACTATATATGCTTGTTTTCTGATAATTTTTCTCACTTATTCATGAGCTGTCATCACATTTGCTTGGATGCATGGACTAACAAACCATGTTTTAGTTCTTCTCACTACATGTGCACTCTTTCATGTGTGAAATCAGCATGGTGCCACTAGTTACATAAGAAAGATTTGGGATTTCGATTTCTATTACTAACTCTGACTTTTGACACAGACAGAGGAAGCATGCTGTAAATGAATGCATCACAGATTGGAAATGTTTGACGTAGCTTGCTCATAATCCCCACAATTGAGTTATATATTCATTGGGTCACATGACATCGATCTAGTTCTGACTCTATATACAAGAGGCCACACTGTTGTGCCCATAAAAATTTATAAGAAAATAAATAGATTTGCTCAGAAATCGAAGTTATCTCACTGAAGAAAGAATGCTTTTTAAAATATTATATTTAGAAGGTAGTGAATTATACTGATTGATTGTATACTGTATGTAAAATATTGTAGGGATACCTGTTCATAGACTGGATGATTAGGAACATGTAAATTTGGGGAAAGTTATGTAAGAATTGCAAAAGAAATGACTTACAGTAAGGTGCAATGCATTATGAACTGAGTAATGATAACAATAGGAGCTATAAATTCAGAGAGTGGACCAGGATGTTAGATAGTAGTAGACTGGATGTTCTTATGTGAACTCAAGGATCTAAGGCCTAAGTAGAGATTGTGTCAGTGAACATGTGTGTGTATGTATGTGTGTGTGTGTGTGTGTGTGTGTGATATGGAGATGATAATACATTTTAAGACATTTCTGCATGCGCAAACAGTCCTGGAGGCAGTGGAGACTACTGATGTATAACTGAGTGACAGTGAACTTACCAATTTGACACAGTGAAAACTTGCAAATTACTGATAAATAGTGCAATGTGGTAAACCATAATGTTGTCAGTAGTTCAGCTGTCAAGATGAAGAGCTAGGGCTCTTTAAATCTTCAGTCCTAGAGAGAGAGAAAAAAGTAATTAAAATGGCAAAGCATTTCAGAGAAGGTTTTCTTTCATTCTGTATATAAATATTTACTGCTTAAGCACAAGCATTCTTGCCTGGGGATCTTGTAAAAAAAAATGTACAGAGTAGCACTTCTCATGGAATTGAAAATATTGCAGTATTTCACAAACTTCTTTGACCATGACCAATAATAGGAAATACACTTATGTTGTAATGCAGTGCATACATATGTTTAACTGGAATAAAAATATTTTAAATCGTACTTCTACCATTAAATATATGATAAACTCATTTAAAATATTGTATGCAAGTCTATTCCTTTTTTTTCTCATCTTGTTTAAGCACTAGTCCTAACTGATTAGATTTATGTAATGATGTACTAAATGGGTCACTAGCTGCAGCTTAAAACCAATGATGATTTGGTAGAAAATTTGAAAATAAAAAGATAAAATATACAAAAGCAAGGAAAATAAGTTCTTTTACTAGTTCCTTCATGTAGTGATCAGAATACAATAAACTTTAAAACAACAGAAATGACAGCATGACAAGTAGGATCAATTATTTTAATGGAAGAATTGACAAGACCTTACTCAGAACTTGAGGAAGTAAAAGAGGTCAATAACAGCTCATAAATTTTAATGATTCATTACCATTCATTAAAATATGTAAGTGAAGAAAGAAAGGGGAAAGTATTCCTGAAATTACTGATACATTTTTGTTAAATTGAACTTGAGATAAGCATTGGCATACTCACAGAGAATTGTCCAGCACCTATTTTACAACACATAAGTGACTGGAGCCCAGAGGGTAAGGGTGGGTTGAAAATAAATTCAGCAAATAGACAGAAATGATTACTTCAGCTTATGACTTCAGCTTTTCTCTGTAGGACTAGAGAGAAATGTAGCAGCCCAGGACTGTGACAGTGCCTGAGGGGTGCCAACATTCAACAGGCAGTGGTGGGAATGGAGGTGGCACAGGAGGAAAGCAGGAAGCTTGAAGAACTGTGACCATTTCGTTAGATATGCCACTTCACCAAGGATCCGAAACCACCATATAAGGGAAGAAAATGTAGCCCAGAGGCTTGTGACTCAAGCCTTTAATCCCAGCTACTCAGAGATCTGAGGATCATGGTTTCAAAGCCAGTCCCCACAGTCTGTGAAAATTCTATATCCATTACCAAAAGAGCCAAAAATGGAGATGTGGCTCAAGTGTAGAGTGCTACTCTTGAGTACAGAGCTCAGAAACAGATCGCAGACCCTGAGTGAAAGCTTCAAGATTGACACAAATAAAAACAAAAGAAAGAAAAAAAAAGATAGCCTAGAAGACAAAATGATCGTGGCAAATAGAGAAGGTACATCTAGCTGAGACTACACTCTTACCCAGGACTGGACCAGTTTAAAATCATATTCCATAAGGAATCCAGTAGAGACCTGGGAAAAGTAAGGCAATGTGTGGCTCACCCAATTTTATGAATGGCAAACTTAAAGAAGCTTCTACGTGTGTAGAGTTCTTGCCACATAACGTATTAATAGAACCGAGACCTTTGTCCTGTATATAAGTTTATGTGATTGGGGGAAGGGAAAGGGAATCACAAAAAGGAAGGGACAAAGGGTGAATCAGTGCTCCAGTGATACTCAGTAGACACTGTGCTGGAAATGAACTTTACAACTTAGCAAGAAGGATGTGTACGGGGTAGTGGAAAAAATGAAGGAAGGGATAACAACACTGGTCAAAAAGAAATGTACTCATTACCTTACTTATATAACTGTAACTCGTCTGTAAATCACCTTTCTAATAATTTTTTATTGTGAAGATATCGTATAGAGGGGTTACAATTACATGGGCAAGATAATGAGTACATTTCTTATCAAGCATTGTTGCCTCCTCCTTTGTTTCTGACCCTTTCTTGTTTTATCTGCTAGAGTGTCTTGCCTTTGGAAAGTAATCTAATGACACATTGGAATGAGATTGCCACCCACTCTAATTGTGAAAAGGGCCGCTATATTTCTCATAATTTGAAACACTGATCTCAGGTGGTATATGTTGTTTCCATGTACTCTGTCATGGTAGTGAAACTATTAGAAGGTCTTAAAAATAAAATATTTTTCTCAAATAGTCCATTTATCTGACAGAACAGAAATATCTAATGGCTCTTTAAGATGGTGCCTGAAATGCTTCACTTTCCACAATGATGATATTACTATTCCTTTGAGAAACACCTTGTCAAAAATTGTCACATTTGATATTAGATTCGACAAATGAATTCTAAGGAACCTGTACATAACATTGTTAAGGAAAGTCATAGATATTTTCCACATCATCCAATGAGTTAATAGTCACTCATACTTCCTTTAGATTGAGAAGATACTGGCACTGAATATTTTCCAAAATATTTACAAACTCACTTTATAAACATAGCTATGAGAGCATAGGAAATAGTTCTTTTATTACTCTGTGTGTATGTGTGTGTGTGTGTGTGTGTGTGTGTGTGTGTGTGTGTGAACTTTAAAGGATACAGCAGAAAAGTCAATAACTACAACTTTATCTAAAAGTCCATATAATCTAATCTGCTTTAGTTCAATGATCATCTGGATTTTTTTTTTTTTTTTTGGTCTGTTGTGGGGTTAGGTGCTGTACCTGAGCTCTTCAGCTCAAGGTGAGGGCTCTACCACTTGGCTCAAGTGGTAGAGCACTTCAAGTTTTCTAGTGGTTTATTGGAGATAAGAGTCTCACAGACTTTCCTGTCTGGACTGGCTTTGAACCGTGATCTCAGATCTCACCCTTCTAAGTAGCTAGGATTACAGGTGTGAGAGACTGGCACCTGGCTGATCAGCTGGTCTTACAGACATCACAGCTCTGGGCCTTTATTAACAGGAAACTAAGCAACCTGTTATATAATTTAAAATTGTATTTTTAAAATAGAGTTGATTAAATGCATGTCAGTGTCAGTAGATGTCTAGTCCTATTATATTCTTGGTTTTATTTCCTGTCCTCTAAATTGCAGAAGATTCTCTTTTAATATTTGACTTTTTACAAAAAAAAATCTAACATGTATAATTAATTAGTAATAAGTTCCAGGAGTCTCAGAAAAGTTTGCTAGCTCTCAGATATCTGTGTCCACCAGATCAACCAACCAGCTGTCGCACTACTTCCCTGATGAGAGATTATTAATGGATGCCCACTTGATCATCAGTCTAAGGGCTGGGCTGCTCTAGGTGTATATGAGTGGGTGTTGACACAAAATATCAACTAACTTTTATAATCTTCACTAGAGCCTGACACAGTCCTAAGAGTTTATCTGATAAAATTTTACCTTTATTACCTCTGTCTATTCTAGTAATCCAACTTTCAGAACCACTTGCCCTGAATTACTAAGTTAGGGAGAAAGGTAGATTTAGATTCATGACAAATGGATTTAAATTCATTCAATCTGGCTCCAGATTGGTTGTCTAAATGCTAAAACTGCTTCTTAGAAGGCCTGGAGACCCGAGTTTAATGTTAACCTAGAAACAGGTACCCATGGCATGAGCTCCAAGGCATGAAACTTCCAGTGCTTGGCATGGCTTCAGGGAATGTTCAAGCATGCACAGAATGAAGCTGGAAGGCTCTGTTTGTCCACTAGGGTGTCTTTATGCCCTGATTTGAATCCTTTTTATTCTATTGTGTCATTTCAGGACATGATCATTTCTGGGCTACAGCCTGAAACTTCATACTCTCTCACTGTCACAGCCTATACCACCAAAGGAGATGGTGCTCGAAGCAAGCCCAAACTGGTGTCCACCACTGGGGCAGGTAATTTCTGCTTTGCGTATTAGAACTAACTTTCCAAGAGGTGCAAGAAGATTCTGTCATTCTCTCATTATGATAAAATGGAAGGGAATAGATTGTGTATAGTTTTCATAGATTTTTTTTTAGTTCAAGATAAAAAGAGAACTTAGGAAAGAATTATTGCACATATAGACTGTGCGAATTGTTTATTTTGTTCAGCAGATAGTTTTATACCTATGTATAAGGCACCATCCTTGCCTTCTAAAGAAGTCAAATTGTACCAAAGATAAAAAGATAAAGGAAAAAAAACAGTATCAATAAGGCTAAATTGTATAAAATGGTCCTTTTCTGAAGAACAAAGCCTCTTCAGTGCTCTTTAAAGTGAAGTTGTTTAGCTACATTAGGAAAAGCCAGCGTGAAGGAAGATCTAGCATTGTAAACTGATAAATTAAGAGATAATTACCAAAGGATTTTCCTGCAATCTTTTCCTATAGCAATCTCCTATGGAACACTTACGCTATGATTTGATTTACTCCTGGTGAATTGCTTCTCACACCACTTTTTAGAACTACACCTCTATGTAAAGGCATAAAGCAGTGAACAGCTGTGATGTTGAGTGCCCTCCTGGGTGCTATGCTCACTGCCAAATTTGTCTAAATGTCATAAGATTTGCCTCGCTCACATCCTGCCACCTGGAACTGCCACAAGCAGCCAGATTACAGATGGCAAAACTCTGTCAACATAGTCTTGCGGTGTTTTATTCTCTTCCTTTCTTTCCTTTCCTCCTTATTTCCTCCTTCCCTTCCTTTCCTTCCTTCCCTCCCTCCCTCCTTCCCTCCTTCCCTCCATCTTTCCTTCCTTCCTTCTTTCCTTCCTTCTTTCCTTCCTTCCTTCCTTTCTTCCTTCCTTCTGTGTAAATTTCTGCTTTGAGCATTAGATCTAACTTTCCAAGAAGTACAATAGGAGTCTGTCATTCTTCTCTTATGGTAAAATAGGAGGGAATCTTTCTTTCCTTCCTTCCTCCCCTCCTTCCTTCCTTTTCCCTCTCTTCTTCCCTCCTTCCTTTCTTCCACTTTTCTTCCCACCATTCCTTCCTTCTTTACTCCTTGAGTAGCAGAAGGTAGTAGAACAGAGCTGATTCTGATTTCTAGAAAATGATCTGGACTCATGATCCAAGGCCAAATTGTACAAGCAGAGAGCATTTGGGCTCTTAAATCTACCTTTAAAAAAAGTCAGTAATTTCTGTAGTTAGGGAAAAGTAGCTCATGATAATGAAATGTTTAATATTTTGATTACTAATAATATTAACAGAATAAAAAATTACACTGACTTTACATGTACTTCTTTTAATAAGTTATAACAACATTATAAGATTTTCTTGATGTAATTTCCATTCAATAGATGAAGAGCTTTGTAAATATATATGCATGGCAAAGTTAGAAAAGAAGTGCAACTTGGGTCCATAGTAATTCAAGGCAACGTTATTTTCTAGCTATTTTTTAACTTTTAAGGTGCATGACATTAATTTTTAGGCCATGGATTCAGATAGAATTGGTCTAACAAAATTGGTATAACAGTTTTCTCATTTGTTCTGCAACTGACCTCAGAGCAGTTTGCTACCTCTGTAGGCATCATTTTCCTATTAAAGTGGAAATGATAATAAATAATTAGAGCACCATGTGAGGCTGGGTAATTTAAATCAAATGAGATACAACATGTAATGTTCTCTTTGTAGTATATGGCACTAAGGCACATAACAATTAAACATTATAGTTTTAATCTGTACCTCCTTGGCTAATCTCCCTGAATGATTCATTTGTATGTGGTGGGCTTGAACCTTTACGCACAATGGTTGAAATTTTTGGACCTTTTAAATTGCTATTTCAATGATCATAACTCTTTTCATCCATTATCAAATTCTAGTATCCCAGCCACCAATAATAAAGTGAGAGGAAGATGATATTTACACATTTGTATGTAGGCCAAGAATTGTTTTCTTTGGAAGATAATAGTATGGGAATATGAGTAGAGTGGGTTCTCATTTGGCAGTGACTGCAACATGTACATCCCTCCTGGTTGCTCTCACCACTCCATCCTTTGTGCTCCAGTTCCAGGAAAACCCCGGCTAGTAATTAACCACACTCAGATGAATACTGCTCTCATTCAGTGGCATCCCCCCGTGGACACCTTTGGACCCCTTCAGGGCTACCGTCTAAAGTTTGGCCGCAAAGATATGGAACCACTCACTACTCTGGAGTTCTCAGAAAAAGAAGATCACTTTACAGCTACAGACATCCACAAGGGAGCATCTTATGTCTTCAGGCTCTCCGCCAGAAATAAAGTGGGCTTTGGGGAGGAGATGGTGAAAGAAATCACTGTTCCCGAAGAAATACCAACTGGATTCCCTCAAAACCTCCACTCAGAAGGCACCACTTCAACCTCTGTCCAGTTATCTTGGCAGCCACCTGTCCTGGCAGAGCGAAATGGCATTATCACCAAGTATACTCTTCTATATAGGGATATCAACATCCCCCTTCACCCATTGGAGCAACTCCTTGTTCCAGCTGACACTTCTATGACACTCACTGGCTTAAAACCCGATACCACATATGATGTAAAAGTACGTGCTCACACGAGCAAAGGGCCCGGGCCATATAGTCCCAGTGTCCAGTTCAGGACACTGCCTGTGGATCAAGGTAGGATTTGTCTGCTTCTGGCCTTTCTCCCTTAAAGGAATGTCAGTCTTTGGAAATCAGTATTTTGAAGCTATAAATAACTGATCGGCCCATTCATATTAATAGGTTTCAGCAAAAACCAACAGGTAAAGTATGGAAAGCTTAATATATTTTGGACACCTTAGATTTCAGTTACTGAAGGTCAAGCAAGTCTGGCTGACAGCTCCCAATGTAAGGTAAGGAAAATACAATAGAGATGACTAAGTTTTAGGGAAAGGAACTTTAGGGAAAAGAGCTTTATGAGAATGAGTGTTAAAATGATTGCTGTGAACAGGTAGGACAGACACAATTTTTTTCCTTTCTTTCTCTCTCTCTTGCTTTCACTCTCTCTTCCTCTCTTTCTGTCTCTATCTTTGTCTCTCTCTTTCTCCGATGAAGTAGACAGCATCTAGAGCAAACCCCATGATACATGGTGGAAAAAGAGAGGACCTGTGTTCTTAGGAATAGTTTAAATACACTGTTTTTCCTTTTCCAGCAGTGTTTGCAAAAAATTTTCATGTCAAAGCAGTAATGAAGACTTCTGTGTTGCTGTCTTGGGAGATTCCAGAGAATTATAATTCTGCCATGCCTTTCAAAGTAAGTTGTCCTCTAATTCGTAAAATTTTAGTAGTAAAGGAAGAATGGGCAGTTCATGAGGGTGTTATATTTCAAAGCCTGCAATTATTCACATCTGTATACGAGTGCATGCGTGAGGATGTGATTTAGTGATAGAGCACTTGACTAGTATGTTTCAGGCCCTGTATTCCATTCCTAAGAACATACACAGATTTCCTTTGGAAATTTGTATGTGCTGATCTGATTTGTGTCTTTCATAAGAGATTGTGTTTGATGCTTGGGCAGAATTACCTTAGTACTATCAAGAAGATAGGCCAGGTGAAATAGTTCACACTTACTATCCTACCTATTTGACATGTGGAGATTGGGAGGATCACTGTCCAAGATAGCTAAAAAAAAAAAAATGAGACCTCTTCATAAAATAAGTAAAGCAAAAAGGCATAGGGACATGGCTCCAGTAGTAGACTGCCAATCTAGCGTCAGTCCCATGTTTTCCAATCCCCAATACTGTCAAAAAGAAAAAAATGGAGGCAGAATGATTATTTTTACTTTTTAAAAAATTATTATCTTTAAGTAGTTGCATAAAGGATTTGCCATTCAACAAAGCAGTTTACAAACACAGTGTATCTTGGTTCACATCACCCATTTCATTATTTTCACCCATTCCTCCCTACCCACCCTTTCCTTCACTCTTCTGAATTTTGTCAGATAGATAATGGATCCTTGACTGCATTTTCCTCTTCTCTTCTTCAACGATCTACCCCTTTCTTCTTGATGCTACCCCACCCCTTTCAAATAGGAACTGCCTGGCATTTTATTTTGCTGAACTTTAATTTTTTTTAAAGGAATTACCCTATTTAAGTTCTCCCTGGGATCTACAATATTTCAGTTAAGACACTGGTATATACTGCATAACACCCAACGTACTTACTTAAGAGTTTAGAAGCTAAATCTAGCTTCTACATTTAAAGGAATACGTGCATCCTTTAAATCTCTGGGCCTGACTTACTTCATTTAACAAGATTTTTCCAAGTCTTTCCATTTCTTTACAAATTGTACTATATATTTTTAATTGATGGGTAAGATTCCATTGTGTTTATATGTGTACCACATTTTCTTGATCCACTCATCCATGGAGAGGCATCTGCTGGACTGATTCCATATCTTGACCATGTTGAACTAAACATGGTTGTGCTTGTGGCTCTACTACAGTAAAGGTTTGTAATCCTTAGTGGTGTTTTGAAGTAGGAGCTTAAAACTAGTGTTGACATTACTTATAGAGCACCTATACTTTGAAACTGAACTTTTAACATTTGACTAGGATTTTGTTTCCACCAGTGAATGAAATTTACATGAGTTTTACTTATTTATAATGTAATATTTGAAGAGTTTTCAAATTTGTTTCTTGGTTTAAGTCCTTGATACCTTCTAAACTCTGCTTATCATTATAAACAAGGAATACATATTTGTGAAATCAGAAGTAGAAAGAGATTTTGGAAAGTGAAAATAAATTTAGAACAGTATTGAAATATTTAGGGGGAAAATGATGTGTATAATATGTTGAGATCTTAGAGCATTTCTGCACACATTCTATTAAGAAAACATTGAACTAGTAGGTCAAATATTGAGAAATATTACTGCACATTTCTTTGTGGCATATTTTGATAGACTTAGAAACATATCATAATAGTAAAACTGACAGGAAAATTGAAGCAATCTCTAGTATTATGAATACTTATGAGCTCAGGAATTGCCACAAATTACAATTGGCCTGGCATACATGTCCAAGAATTTAGTGAACCTTGATTTCTAAAAACGTAAGTTTTTTTCTCTGTCTGATAAGCATACTTGCTGGGTTGTGTGCCTATAGATTCTTTATGATGATGGGAAAATGGTAGAAGAAGTTGATGGCCGAGCCACACAGAAGTTAATTGTCAACCTAAAGCCTGAGAAGTCCTATTCCTTTGTGCTAACAAATCGTGGAAACAGTGCTGGTGGTCTGCAGCACAGGGTAACCGCCAAGACTGCACCAGATGTTCTGCGTACCAAACCTGCCTTCATTGGAAAGACCAACTTGGATGGAATGATTACTGTGCAACTTCCTGAAGTTCCTGCAAATGAAAACATAAAGTAAGTTGATTGAAAGGTGAAGAATGAAGGACAGCACCTGTGGGTAAAAGAAGATAGTTACATCACACTGTTATGGTGGTTAAAAAAGAATATATTGCTGAGTGCAAAGTGAAGGATTTGTCTGTTCAGGCACACATTCTTGCTACCTAAGTGCTACTGCATGGCCTTCTGGTGTTGATTAGACACAAAATTTCATTAATTTAATATGAAGGGCTTTTATTAATAGCAAGAATATATACTTGTTACTCAAGGGGAGATAGACAAATAGAGCACATTCCCTACTGCAAAGTTATTTATGGCATAGTATATGAAAGAGGCCTAGTTGATTCATATTTGGGAAATTAATATTATAGTTATGAGGAAGTATTATAAAGTACTGCAAGACTAAATGAAACTTTGCAAAATGACATAATCCAAAACAATATGAAATAGGTATACTTAGTGCATCATACAACCAATAGAATTTTAAAAGTATACTTGCTAAAATATAGTAAGAATGAGTACTGTAGCAGACTGAATAAAACCACATGTGGTTACTGCCTTCATTGAGCTTACCATGGTACTGGTGATATCAAGAAATAGATAAATATAAGAGATGTCAATGGTAGAGTTATGATTTTTCTTAATAGTAGACAGTCCCGGATGGGATAAGGCCAAGAAAGTATTGACCATATCTTGAAGGACAAATAAGAAGCCTATATAAAAAAAAGCGTAAGAAGATTATATACAAAGAAAACTGTCTATGTAAAAGTCTTTTAGTAAAAACAGTAAGTGAAGTGGTGCCATTTGCTTGAAACCCTGTGTGCCTGGAAAAGATGAGAGGAAGATAGGGGTCAGACCAGAGTCACATTTTGCTCTAAGGTTCTCTAGACAGCAGAAATCTTAATTCAGGAAAGTGGCACAATATCATTTGTGTAATACCAAAGTTTTATATCCTCTATTTTAGGAACTAACATAGAGTGAATAGTAAAAAAAGGTTGTTGGAAAAACAAAAATTTGTTGACTGTTGAGTCTTGATAAATAAGATCTTAAAGTAAGACAACGCTAGTAAACATAGCAGAAATACCCAGTAGATGTGGACATGCACCTGTTATTTCAGCAATAATAGAAAACATAAAAGTAAGTAAATAAGGGCTGAGGCACATGCTCAGGTGGGAAACAAGTCCCTAGCCAAGAAAAAAAAGAACACAGTGAAAAATAGGACTGGAGGTGCAATTCATTAGTATGGTGCCAGGCTAACAAATGTAAGGTGCTGAATCAAAACAGCCAGTTACTACCAAAAATGGAAAAGAATCACCATGTCTCCTAAAACATAAAGGAGATGAAGGGATAAATCATGTATTACAAAGTAAACTCATAAATTAAAAACATAAATGGCGAACAATTAAGGAACAAGTAATCAGTCATAATCAATCCTTTCTGGACAAACTTTCAGCTGTTATTTGTTTAAAAATGGTAGTTGATTTCAACATAGTGACAGAATTTCCAAAAGATTATTACTAAAATAAACTGAGATCATGTTTTCAGTTTTTACAGCTTTTATTTCTCAGTCAGTGAACTGAAAATGAGAATGGATTAAATATCAGTAAAATTTTTATCCTAGCAAAACGTAGTATGCAAGTATTTTCCTATTTATCCCTTTGTTCTGTGCAGTTTTCTTGATACTGACAGGTAAAACATTTATATATATATATAAAAACAACACTTCAGAGAGAGAAAATTATATATATATATGTTTTGCTCAATCTACTTTATTGAAGTATAATCGATAGATAAAAAGGCACATGTGTTTAATGTATAGATCTTGACTTGTTGCATCCTAAGTATTTACCTATGAGACCATCATGGATACCATAGGTATATCAGATATTTTTCCCCACCTATCCTGGGGCAAGGCTATGTTACAGGGATTTTACAGGGATTCAGTGAGAGAGTGCATCTTTATTACTACCCATGTAGACTGCAGTTCCTTGGGGAATTCGGTCAGGAGAAAAGACATGCAGCAACTGAGACCTGTGACACACAAGTTAAGACAGATAAGGGAAGCCTCATTATGTGTCATAGACTGGGCTCTCCTAATCCACTAGTGTCTCACATTAGGGATTCTGGAGAAGGTAGCAGCTGAGGTCTAGAATTCTACATGCCTGAGTTGATGTTTTGATGAATTCCTACATTGTATAATATTAAAATCAGGTTAAGCATATTAATTGCCTCAAAGATCTATCACTTTATTTATGGTGGAACAATTCAAATCATGTCTCTAGCTTTCTTAAATAAATAGCATAATATTGTGAAGTTAAAAAAATGACAAGAAGTTTCTGGGCTCTAGGAGTGGGAAGAAGACAACACTTCAGAGAGAGAAAATGATAGAGTTAAAGGGGAGACTAATGCTTGTTCTTTGTATGTGGCTTGCTAACCTGTTCACACTTTTCAACTACTAGCCAATAAACCACACACACACACACATGCACATGCACACACATGCGTGCACGCACACACGCACACAGGCACACCACTCCTACTACCACCATCACCACCACCACACACATATTGCAGATAGCATTTTTAGTACTCTTTCTGTGAGGAGAAAAATGACTGACATGAAGTCCTATATTATAATGGGAAACAGAAAATAGATGGCATGAATACAATGGAGTAAATATTGCCAGGTCCTGTGGAAATATAAAGTGAAGTTTGAGTCTTACCTGGGTGTGAAGGGAGATATTGTAAAAGTGCTCATTTCTAATTTGAATCTTGAAGGGTGCGAAAGTTTGGGGAAAGATGAAAAATTTAGGGAAAAAACAAAGAAAATATATACATTATAAATCCAACCCATTAATATAAAAAAATTAAAAAACATGCCTTTTCTTGAAAGCAAAGCACTTGGGAGATGAAGGGAGTATAGGAAATACAGTAACATGACTAGTTAATACAATGTTCATTACTTTCCTTAATTTATATAAATGCTGATCTATAAAGGGAAATGATTAAAGCCTCTTTTGATAAAGTGGGTTAGACCTTTCTGAAAACTGATCTACTGGTGCTAAACTGTAGTTTCCTATTCCAATTCTAAATGAATTGATAAAATATTGGAGGATACATTCTACCTTTAAAGGTTGTACTTTGCTTTTTTAATTGTTCCCTTTGTCATCTAATTTTTCCTTCTATACTTGAAATGAGAGTCTGAACAAGTAGAGAAAACTTCGGTAACAAAAAGGAGACCCCATATAAAAAAGAAAAAGAAAGCCAAGTATTGTGAAAAAAAGCATCTCATAGGAATAAATTAAAGATTTTTCCTAGCCTTGAAGGGAGGTGAAGGGTAAACAAAGGAGGAGGCTGCAATGCTTGGTAAGAAATGTATGCATTATCCTGCCCATGTAATTGTAACCCCTCTGTACAGTATGTTCTCAAATAAAATAAAATTAAATTAAAAAAAAAAGATTTTTCCTAGCCTTTTGAGGAAACAAAAAAGAATAAAAATTTAATTACATAAGTCCTTGAGTCCACAAAGCAATCGAAATCATAGCAAATAAAAAAAAAAATTCTGAGCTGAACACCAGTGGTTTGTGTGTATCTTCTTAGCTACTCATAAAGCCAAGGTCAGAAAATACATCTTTGATAGTCCATCTCCAAAAATCCAGCAAAACTCCAGGCAGGAGGGATGGCTTAAGTATGGGGTAGCAGACATGAACAAGAAAGCCCATAAAGTACAAGGTCCTGAGTTCAAATTCTGGTCCTGGCAAAAAACAAAAGAAAGAAAAATGAAAAAGAAAAGGAACTCTGTTTCTTAAAATTGATAAACTAATAGTAATATAAATTTATATTATAAATATAAAGATGTACTTAGAAGTAATAAATAGATGTATTATCTATATCAAGATATATCATTTTCAGTAGTTGGAAAGTTTAAGAAATTGAGAGGACAATAGCTTTTTGTTCAATATTCTATGGAAGAAGGAAGGAAGGAAATGGCACTTATTCTGTAACTGTGGACAAGTAACTTTACTTGTTTGTATCAAAACTATCTGGAAAAAAAAGTATTCCCTGCTTGTTCCTGTTCATTTTCTAGCATAATAGAATATTGGTGATATAAGATTATTTGTTTATCAACTGAAGCCATGTTTTTTCATTTCCAGCCAAGTTGATTGTGAGGTCTTTATTTGTAGTTCTGGTACCTCAACACAGGTGAAGAGGACAATTTCTTATACATTTATTGAAGACATATCTCCTTGCTCCTCTTTTCATCCTTGCTTGATCTTTATACTTTCTTGTATACAGAAATAAAGGAACTTTTCCTAGTTCCTAAACTTCTTCTGAAAGTACCTTTAAAAAAAAGAATACATTGGGGTACCAGGCAATTTTAGTGCTTCAACTTAATTTTTACAATACAGTTAAGAGACAGAAGGTCCATCAAAAAGTGTAGCTCTACCAACCATCATTCTTCAGAGGTGAGTGTAATGACAGCGGGAACTTCTGAAACTTTGTTGAAGTGAATTTTACTCTATGAGGTTACAAAAAATGGTACACAGATTGTACATTTAGAAAGAACAAACAGAAGGTACCAGTTTGTCAGTTCAGGTGGGGAAATCTTTGATTTTGACAAGTACCTGACAATTGAGTGAAAATAATATAAGACTTTGCTCTAAGCCTTATGATGAAACTTATGAAATAGGGAAACTCTTCGTCCCATCGACAGGTGAGTAAAATGACATGCAGAGATGCTACAGTCATATAGCTGGCATTAGTAATAATTCTTGGAGTAGGCAATAGTCGTATTCATACCTTGTACACATACAAATGATGACATTCTTAAAACAGTCTGTCTCATCTCATTGTCAAGGAAGTTAAAAGTTGAACTAACTAGCTTCAGCATAAAACATCAGAAACAGGGAAGAAAGATCTGAATGTAAACTTTGTAGCTTCAGATATCACATTCTAAACTACAACTCTGCCTTTGTGACCATGGACTCATGGGTTAATCCAGGACAATTTTTTTAGGA